TTAGATTTTCTATGTATTATTTAAGCATTTTTGACTTAGGACCATTTCGACTTACGACCTGGATTTGGGTCCCTAACCCCGTTGTAAGTCGGGGAGGAGCTGTACTGGCTGATGGTAATGTTGTCTGGTTTACTGTAGCCTCTTCCTTTTGTTTCTCTTCTTTTTGATGTCTTTCCATCCTTTTTCTTCTTCATATTCTTGATGTTCTTCTTGCTTTTTTATTTTCTGCTTCATCTTGTGTTTCTTGCTCTGAGTTATCTTATGGTTTTCCTTGGTCTGTTCCTTCTTGTTCTTGAAGGTTTTCAGGTTCTGGGTGGTCTTTGTTGCCTAAGTTCCCTCACAAGAGGAGTACATCCTTGTAGGAGAGGTTCTTGGTGTGCTTCACCTTCACTCTTCCCCCCATTTGGGACCCTCCTGGTCAGAGGATTAGTGAGGACCACCACAGGCGGTGCATTTCTTGTTCTTGATCTTACAGTCATCATGCTGGTGTCCAGAAGACACACATCTGTAGCACACATCTTCTGGGGCCTTGCATTTTTTGGGTGGGTGACTGTACCGCTGACACTTGAAGCATCTGGTCTGTCATGGCACGTAAGATCTCACTCAGACGGTGTCCCATCCCAGTGTGACCGTCTCTGGAAGTTTGTGGAAAAATCCAACTAGAGCCGGGGTAGATTTTCTCTCGGGTCTCTTAATTTCTCTCTGCACGTCTATTTCTTCTTCTATGAGTTCTTTAATATCATTCTTGTTCATATGTTATACTTTGGCTTGGGAAATAGCTCCCCACACCTTAACGGGGCCGTCATCGATGACATTAAACGTTGCTAAGTTGTTTAGCCTGTCTCCAGTCACCGAAGGTGAGGGAGGCTGAGGACTGTGTGGCACTTCTAAGAAGTCAGCAGTGACTGAGAGGCATAACCCTCTCACATAACCTCCAGTGTGACCAGCCAGGAACTCCTGGTTAAGTAGCCACTTCCTTTTTTATCATGACCCAGTTTGTCTCCAGCAAAGTAAAGGAATACAGATGTAAACCTTCCTTTTTTCTCTCTCTGGTGTTATCTCTATCAATACAGTACAGGCACCATCTACTTGTAGAGGTTTTCTATAAGTATATGCTGTTGTTTCTTCTCTAAAACACTGTCTGCTGTACTCGAGACTCCAGTATTGGTGGGACTGTGTTGGCTGATGCATGGCTGTGTGCTCATGATCACATTTGTAAATAACTGACGGTCTTAATTCATATGGAAACTAGACTTTTATCAACAAAGTCATTTCATAAGTTTTGAATATATTCTATCTCAATATGCTGTAAAAAAATTTGGAGAGTGAAAATGTTTTTATATTCCTGGGAACTGCCATAGAGCGGGTACCCCTACCAATGAGTTGTTCCAATGATCTAGATTGGGAACTTGATCCACCAGGACTGCCTTTGGGTCTGTTGGTATAAACACAAACTGCTCCAATACTTAACAGTGACTGAAACAACTGTAAGACATACTAATGTTCATGGTTTTGATGGTGAAGCTGATTTACATCATCAACTGTACTACAATATTTTAGATAACTGCCTTGGTGAACTCAATGCTGAGTTTGGTGAGCATAATATTAGACTACTTACAGTCATTTCTAGTCGTTGGCCAGAATCCAAGACTTGTTTATTACTTCCGGAAAATCTTGTCCCATTGGCTAAACTCATAGGTGTCGACACTGAGTCGTCTCTTCTGGTAAGTGAATGTCATGTTGCTAAGTGACTTATTGAAGAATTTTATTGCCCAGTTCTCAAAAACATTGGTGAAAATTTCAAGATATCATTTCCTTTCTGAAATGGATTAACTCACATACACAAGCTTTATGCAGCTGCCCTCACATTTGGTACAAGCACTGCAATATGTGAACACTCCTCGTCTGTCACATGCTTACACAATATAGGCATTCAATGACTCAAAGTAGAAAAAGTAAGCTGGTCTTGACTGTATTTTGGGCAGACCTTACACAGAAATTGAACTTGGAGGAAAAAGCAGGAAAATTAAATTGTATTGAGTTAATTATCACTATCACATAATGAATACAGTACTGTGTATATAGACGTTATTAATGGAAGGAATATTTTCTCATTATTTCTCTGTTGTCAATTTTTTCATGAACATTATCAGTTTTCATTATTGTCTTATTGGTTATTTGAGAAAAATTTATTTACATTCAGTTATTCGTTGCTGTACTTCAGTTTATATAATTCTTTCCTGTCTATGTTATATACTTAAACTATCATTACATATATGTGTGTGTAGTTTAATAATTTATGAATTCATATACAGTATACATAAAATGTTGTGAATTGGGTCATTAGTTGTCATAAATAAAAATAGTGTTCTATGGTATAATTGGTTTTATTTCCAAATGGTTTCATTATAAAAATTACAACTAATAATGTCATATATGGCAGAGTCGTTAATAAATAATCATGGCCCTCTTGGTCGTTGAACAGGCCCCACCACTCGGCTATAAATCTGACAATGGGTCTTGCAGATAATTTACGATTTGATAAACAGCAACGCCAACAAGAAGTCAAAACTAGGGAGAGAAAATAAAATATAAGAACATAAGTTTCACTCATTAACCAATATTACTCAAAAGAAATTGGAAATGTATTTAAACTCATATTATGGGATTTGATTCCAACAATATAATTCTCATAATTTATAATGTGCTTAGAATAGGTTTAAGATCCTACTTAACCAAACAAAAAATAAATAAGGGATTTGTGGAGATAATAGACTCATGAATCTGGATAGTAAAGCCTAAAAGAAAAAAACAATCAATTTTATATTTATGGTAATAAAACCCCCAATGTGAGGCTCTGTCATTTATTGACAAGTTAAGTACAGTATTACCTGAGTCAGTGTTTATTGGTTTAAGAGCGGACAACAACATAGGCTGCCACGTCATATTTTTTGGTAGATTGTTTACAGTAAATAGTTAATTTCTCTGTGTCAAAGAGCGTGGAGACATCATTTTAGTGTCACATGATCAGTTCTTCACCGTGTTTTACCCCGTACTCTCCGTCATCTTTCATGTCCTGCCTATTACAGGTGATTTATGTTCATAGAGAAGATATAAAAAAATACTGGTATTTATAATTTAAATAAAAAGTTGTGTTAATTTTTATTAGTTAATATGATATTATGTCATTTGTTGCCACCCAAAATTTTTTGATAATTTTATGGTTGCAATCAGTAGTTTTGATCATTCTAAAACACTTTTCTTCTATGGCATTTCTGTCACAAATTAAGTTCTGTATAAGTGAGATATTTTACATTTTAGTTGCTGGTTTGTTAACCAATCAGATCTTGGTATAGTCCATCTGTTAGGCTAGTATGGTTTAGATTAGGTTATATATTCTATACTGGTGCAATCAATACAGTATACTTATATACTAATGCAAATTAATTACATACACTGTACACTCTTGTCCTATATGTTCGTAGGAAAGGTCAAATTTTCCCCTAAAATCAAAACTTTTTAATTTATAAATTTGTACCAAAAAATTGCAAATAATAGAATCAAATCTATATAACATTTTACATCCATTAAGCATAATTTCAACTTCCAAATGCTTGGTGGTAACAAGTGAAATTTTACCATTAATACTACATCATCCATAGAACAACTGTGGATAATATGAATCAAATATAAACACAGTACTCTGGTACTAAGTGACTCCACCACCACTACCCAGTACAAGTTATGAAGGTGTTATTTGACTGTGCTAGCTGGCCAAATATCCAAAGGGTATTTGACCATTAGCTGCGGAGATTGTTTATGATTTTACTACGATTTTAATGGGATTGTGGACAGGATGGCTGTGGGCATTATTACACTAGTCATTACATAATAACTTAAATGTTAAATGCTTAATCATTATCTCCCTTGTGATACTCCAAGATGTCCCACTTCTCTTATGGACATATAATGATGTAGGTTGAATTAGGTTAGGTTAGATAAACATTTTTTAGTCTATACCTGAACTGTATCATAACTGTTAAACGTTGAGCTGTTGGTTTTCTTAATAAATAGATTTATAATTTAATCATGTTCTATCTTCCTTATCATTAATTTTACGTGTTCCTATCTCTACTTGGTCGATTGTGTTACAATAGTTTAAAGTTATCAATAAAATAATATGTAGTATATTCTGGGGCCACAAGAACTTGGTTTTATTTTTGAACTCTTCAAAATATTATATTATATTTATAATTTGTTAGTCAAATTGAAACAAATTTATGCAGTAAAACCATTCATAAATATATTGAATAATAATTACTCACATACAATGATATGATATATAAGTGAGGGTAAAACAGTCATATATCACCTGCCTACCTGTTGCTCCTGCCAGCAGACCAACACCCACACACACACAGCAAGTCTCTTACCTTGTCCAAAATGTCCTCACAACTATTATAAGGCTCTCTCTCTCTTACACCACCATAATCCCTGCACACTTATCATTCATAGTAAAACACAAATGAGTCCTCACAATACAATATTACAGCAATACAAACCAATTTTCTTCAGAATATTTTTCGATGCTGTGTTTGCATGGAGGAGGGCATGGCACACCACACCCTTCTTCCCAACCACACACTCTTCCTCCTAACCACTCCCTTTTCCTCCCATCCACACCCTCTTCCTCCCATCCACATCCTTCCATCCACAAACACTACCTTCCATCCACACACCCAAAAGGTTGGGTGGATGGGAAGGGAGTTGGGATGGGTAGGTATGTGAGTTGGGTTGGAGGGGAGGTGGTGTAGGAGGAGGGTTTGGTGGGAGGGAGGGAGGGAGGGTTGGTGGGTGGGTGGGGGTGTTTGGGAGGGAGTGTTGGGTATAAGGAAAGGTGTGAGAGAGGGTGAGTGTATGGATGGGAGTGAGGGTGTGTGTGGGAGGTCCTCCCTTACACACACCCTCACTCCCATCCATACACTCACCCTCTCTCACACACCCAACCTCCCACCTTTAATGTGTGGGGATGGGACTAAGGTTTTCTCATTTCTTTCAGATTGTGCGCCTCCGAGGTGAACGTCTGACTGAAGTGAACTTGTGACTGGTCGAGAACTCCTCCAAACAGGTAAAGTACTTATGACAATATATAATGTCTATATGCAAGTATTTATGAATGTTATGTTTTAAACTTCTTGTATTCCAGGTTTGTTTGTGTGGCTGACTGTGGACCTACAAGGTTCTTCTTGGAGGTAATAAAGGTAAAGTTTTTCAAGTTATAGTTGATAGCACTAACAGCACCGTAGTTAGACGTAGAATGCACAGTAGTAACTCCGCCTTGTTCAGTCGAACATGCCGGTCCCAAGCCCGGATAAAGGAGGAGGGCTACTGCAGTGTTGTATCTACCATCGCCACCTAACAAACTTACATTATAAATTGTTCTGAAAAAAGTAATATGTTCTGTCAGCAACAGAGAAAAAAATTACTTGTGTACTGTACATTGTGTACTATGTTTTTATATCTTTGTAGATAGGTAATACAAAATAAAGAATTGAATATACAGTATATTTTTTATTTTCATATGTATACACTACACATTTATTGCAATATACAATAACAGTCCAGAAGTTGATAGAGAAATACAAAATATCCTTGGTCATATAGCCTGGTTTTATACCTGCACTGTCTAGGTACAGTATACATCAATTTACTGGCCATTCCTGCAGTCTTATGTTCTCTTAAACCTACTGTACATTACCAAATATTAGCACAGAAGAAAATCAGAGAAAACTTGTAATTATTGGCAACATCACTATATATTTCTCCTGTGTCCCTAGAAATCACATTACAGTACCACTACCATTATTATTTCTCTGCAGATACATCAGTGATGGTGAGGCCGTCACATTATCAGCCGTTGTGGATTTTTCAATTCAACCTTTATATTGCAGACTCCACATAAGGTGAGTTTATTTCACTAGACCTTAAGGTTTTTTAAAGTATCTTTTGTCAGGTTTTGGTCCTACACAAAATTTAGCTTTAGATAATAATGGAAGTCTTGTACTTTGTGAATAATTTTGGCCAGGTACAGTACATATATATATATTTCTAAATTTATCCAAGTGACCAAGTCTTTAGGGGTGGAGGGTGGGGGATGGGTGGAGGGGGATGGGTGGAGGGGGGTGGGGGGGGGTTCATAAGTTGTTTATTACAATTTTACAAGATTTTTTTCTTCTATATTTTCAGGTAAAACACTTCCATTCAGCAATTGGTGTGCAGTGTCCAGATTGTCAACATTTAGTAAGTAAAATTCTTACTGTACTTTACTTTCATTTACTGTATATATACAATACTTTCAAATTAATAGTATGTATGCAATCAAAAATGTTCTTTACGGTCATGGCCGATGAATTTCAAAATGAACACGAGATGCCCGTTCTCTCGGCAAGGTTGTCAAAATCCTTCGTCCGAGGCGTCTGTAACTTGGATGCATTATTTGTGCCATCTGTGGGTATCTAGTAGTTTTGATTACATGTACCCAATAGGGCATCACATGGGCATTAGTTTGTAACAGTTAACAATGAATGGCACTTTTATGTCAATTGGTGATAATTATATGTAATTAATGTATATATCATGTTCTAAGTTACCCAGAAGCCATCATGTGGGTGTATCCAAGTTGATCACCTTAGTTCATGTTTCAGGTATAGTTTACAGTTCTACTGTACTTGTGGTTTATTTAGATCATTATCATTCAACTTCGGAATATGAAACGTAAAGTTTATTCAATATTTATTCATTTATTTTATTATACACAGACATTGTTGGAGTACAAACCATTACAAACACCTCCCAGTGCAAGTTCCTCTACCAGTGCAAGTGCCTCTCCCGGTACAAATGCCTCTCCCGGTACAAACGCCTCCCCCGGTACAAACGCCTCCCCCGGTACAAACGCCTCCCCCGGTACAAACGCCTCCCCCGGTACAAACGCCATCCCTCAAGCCACCAGAGGCCTCCCCACACTGAACAACAATTACATATTACACTTAATTTTACAAACCACTAAGAGAAATGGATCCGTGCGAGATATTCAAACCTCTCACAATCCGTTTGATTGATGTCCGTGTATCTCGTTGTACACCTTGCTGATACTTCACCTGTGGACGAAAAATATATTAGAAAAAGGAAATTTTTTGCAGCCACAACAAAACTGTGACTACCACGATAGTTAATAATGCTACTGTACATAATGTATCTTGCTATTTTTAATACTGTGTGTGGCTTTAATCAAGGTTCACTCCTACAGTCTTGAATGCATTAGTACAGTACTTTAAATATTTTCTCAAGTTTTGCTAAATTATAAAAATATTTCGGTAATACTTAACTTTTACATTACACTATTCTTACAGTAGTGTACAGAACACCAATTCTGTTCTTTCTTAGTAAGGTGGTAGTCAAGGTGTGGGATGCTGGACAGTAGTGGTCACCTTGTTGTGTCTGGTCCATCTATCTTGTACACCAACCACCTGCAACATGATTATATTTGTTTTCAGATACTCTACATCTGAATTAATTAAGCTATTTTATATTACCAATACACAATATTGAGGTTAACTTGGACTGTATGTTCTTAAATGCACTATTTTAAGTACAGTTGGTCCTCATATTACGCGGTTAATGTAACCCGGAGGGTACCGCGGAAAGTGAGAAACGCGTAAAGTGAATAACATAACATATGGTCTTAATTGAAATGGAGTCCGGGCCGATCCCCAAACTCCACTTTTTGACGACACACAACTATGTTGTAGTAAAAATATTATCTTAACTTTATGATGGCATGCACACACAATTAATAATTAAGAGAAATATCAATAATATTAGGTTTTTTAACACTTACATTAGTAGAAAAGATGGCTGGGCACACGGGGATGGGCGGTTGGTTCCGAGGCAGAGGGCAGATTATTGGCCCTCACCTGTATCACTTGTATCAATTGTATCACTATCCACCACAGAGGCTTGCAGGGCCTCTTTGTCAAACCCCCCAAAGTTCATACAAGTCCATATCCTCACTATAATTATCACTATCACTGACTTGGGCCGGCTGTAGTGGGTGGCGGGTGAAGAACTGGTCATGTTTTGATGACTGGGCGACCTTGTGCGCACCATTTTCGCGCCTCTTACACAACATGGCGGGAGGTTTGGATCCAAAAATGGCGCGGCTTGCCAGCCGCTCTCCGCGTAATGGGGTTCACGACCGCGGAATGTGAAAATGTTAGGTTCTGGCAAGGCACCGCGTTAACGGTGAAACGCGTAATGCGGGACCGCGTAATATGAGGACCAACTGTAATATATCAAGTTTAGCTAAATTATATAAAAAAGGTTTCAGTAATACTTAACTTTTACATTACAGTACACTATTCTTACAGAAGTGTACAGAACACCAATTCTGTTCTTTCTTAGTAAGGTGGTAGTCAAGGTGTGGGATGCTAGACAGTAGTGGTCACCTTGTCGTGTCTGGTCCACCTATCTTGTACACCAACCACCTGCAACATGGTTATATTTGTTTTTAGATACTCTACATCTGAATTAATTAAGCTATTTTATATTACCAATACACAATATTGAGGTTAACTTGGACTGTATGTTCTTAAATGCACTATTTTAAGTAATATATCAAGTTTAGCTAAATTATATAAAAAAGGTTTCAGTAATACTTAACTTTTACATAACAGTACACTATTCTTACAGTAGTGTACACAACACCAATTCTGTTCTTTCTTAGTAAGGTGGTAGTCCTCAAGGTGTGGGATGCTGGACAGTCGTGGTCACCTTGTCGTGTCTGGTCCATCTATCTTGTACACCAACCACCTGCAACAGATTATATTTGTTTTTAGATACTCTAAATCTGAATTAATTAAGGTATTTTATATCACTACCAATACACAATATTGAGGTTGACTTGTACTGTATTCTTAAATGCACTATTTTAAGTAATATATCAAGTTTTGCTAAATTATATAAAAATGGTTTCGGTAATACTTAACTTTCACATTACACTATTCTTACAGTAGTGTACAGAACACCAATTCTGTTCTTTTTTAGTAAGGTGGTAGCCCTCAAGGTGTGGGATGCTGGACAGTAGTGGTCACCTTGTTGTGTCTGGTCCATCTATCTTGTACACCAACCACCTGCAACATGGTTTGGATTTAGATCAATCTTAATTAACCTTAATGTATTATTACCAATACACAACATTTACTCCAGAATTTCTTGGAATCTAAACTTGCATTCTTATATATATGTGATATATCCATACACTCAAACACCCTCCTATATCACCTTACACAGGAGCATTGTCCTTCCTCCTCACTTTTGGCTGCAGCAGTCTTCTCATAGGCATCATCCCCCACATGCCTTCATAGTACACGCTATTTTTTTGCATCACATTTTTAACATGCACTCCATTTACCATTGCTTGAGCACACCACCATCCATGCACAAGCGACCCTACCCCCACTGTACGAGCGCCCCCAGCCCCACTGTACGAGCGCCCCCAGCCCCACTGTACGAGCGCCCCCAGCCCCACTGTACGAGCGCCCCCAGCCCCACTGTACGAGCGCCCCCAGCCCCACTGTACAAGCGACCCTCCACTGTACAAGGCTCCCCTTCCACTGCCCAATGCTCCTCCTTTCCAACCCTTCACACAAAGCAAGTCCCTCCTCTCGAGTCTTACTTCCAGTAGTTTTTGGGGATGGCCATACTAAGATACATAAGTAACTTATCTGAGGAGGCTGAAGTAACATGCTGGGTGTTGCATCTTGCTCAAGGTGTCGGTCACTTCCTCTACACTGGCATTCACATACGTCAGCTGTCACCTGCAACATGTTTAAAGTTGTAATTTATGTACAATGAAGATTAAACATACAATTTCCATCTACCACCAGACTACATGTACTTATACTGTCCCCAAATGTTTACTTAAATACCTTATCTACAAAAGATCTTATTTTAAGTTGCATTAGTGTTTTAGTTTTCTTAATACCTCAACAACTAACATTTACCACAACAATAGTATAGCCAATCATAACAAGCCTTCATCACCAATACTGCTACACTACTAAATCTCTCCACACTGAATCCTCCCTCCCTTCCTTCCTCCCACCCCTCAAGCCCCCCTTAGGTGTTCCCCTTGACAACTTGGTCACATTTAGCTTGAATGAAAAACTTTACCAACACACCCAACTTATAGTATACACCTGCTCACCCCATATGCCAATACACAAGCCATATAGTCCCCCTACCCTGATTACAACAAGCCACACAATGTTTAATGATTTCACAAGTCCCACAAGCTTCCCTTGCCTAAATAAAACTCAGTAAGTTGACTTTACCTGTTCTGGCATTTTAAGTTATTTCTCCTTAGGTTCAGTATGATGTTACTTCTGGCCAGCTTAACCTGAGGAGAAAGTCAGTACAGTACACGATTAGATTTTGAAAAGGAAACTGCAAAGTACACAAGCTATTGATTTTTAATAATTTAAACAAGTGAAATTTTTTTAGCTTAACTTTCTGAATTCATGATCAGTTAACTTGTGGCAAATTTTAAGTTACATTCTTTAATATATTTCTTATCCAATATATAAACTATATAATAGGTAACTTAATATTAATTTGGGTTAGTCTAGATTAGTTACATTTAATCTATGTTAGGCTGATAAGTTTAGTTAATTTGTTAGTTAAAACCCACCTACTAACAACCAGCTTTACTTACTATTAATCACATTACTACCACTAATGCTCACTAATACTGTAACTAATTGGCACTTAGTCCTGTACATTTTTATAGCACTTTATTAAGCTTTCCCAAATCTCTACAGCTAATCTTAATTTGACTCCCAGCTCAGTCTATCTAGATACAGCTCTCCAGAGCCCGTTGTAAAATTGCAGTTTCGTCCAATATGCCCTCGTAGTTTAGAAATTCGTTTATCCTATGTATTTTGGGTCGATTCAATGGAATTTGACCTTTATTTCCAGGGGAAAGCACCTCTTTAGAATTATATCCCCCCCCCCCAAAAGCATGGAAATCTTTAAAACTCCTTTTTGACATTCTTTGCTCCCTGGTTGAAATGGTGTAAGAAATACTCCGATAAGGAGATCTAAAGGTTGGGGATGGTTAAAAGTCAGGTGTGTACTGGCCGAAACTGCAATAATACCGAGCCCTCCAACACACACACACACACACAGTCCTCCAACACACACACACAGTCCTCCAACACACAGTCCTCCAACACACACAGTCCTCCAACACACACAGTCCTCCAACACACACACACAGTCCTCCAACACACACACACACACACAGTCCTCACACACACACACACACACACAGTCCTCACACACACACACACAGTCCTCCAACACACACACACAGTCCTTCAACACACACACACACACACACAGAGTCTCAACACACACACAGTCCTTCACACACACACACACACACACAGTCTCCACACACACACAGTCCTCCAACACACACACACACACACACACAGTCCTCCAACACACACACACACACACACAGTCCTCCAACACACACACACACACACACAGTCCTCCAACACACACACACACACACACACACACACACACAGTCCTCCAAAACACACACACACACACAGGTCCTCCACACACACACAGTCCTCCATACACACACACACACACACACACACACACACACACAGTCCTCCACACACACACACACACACACAGTCCTCCCACACCCACGGTCCTCCACACACACACACACAGTTTTCAGAGCCCTCAACACACACACACAGTCATCCAACACACACACACACACACACACACACACACAGTCCTCCAATGCGCACACACACACACCCTGCAGCCTTTGGGAGTCCTCCGCACACACACGGTCCTCCAACACACACACACACCCACAGTCCTCCAACACACCCACAGTCCTCCAACACACACACACCCCACAGTCCTCCACACACACACACACACACACACACACACACACACACACACAGTTTTCCAGACCCTCAACACACACAGTCCTCCAACACACACAGTTTTCCAGAGCCCCCCAACACACACAGTCTCCAACACACACAGACAGTCCTCCAGCGAACACACACACACACAGTCCTCCAACGCACACACACGCACGCACACACACACACACACACACAGTCCTCCAACACACACACACACACACCCACAGTCCTCCAACACACCCACAGTCCTCCAACACACCCACACACAGTTTTCCAGAGCCGTCCAACACACCCACAGTCCTCCAACACACACACACACAGCCCTCCAACACACACACACAGTCCTCCAACGCGCACACACAGTCCTCCAACATGCACAGTCAGCCAGGTCCCACACACACACCCTCCACTGCCCAGTGTAGGAGCACAGTGTTGAGTGGTTTATGGGCTGACCATAATAGCTAAGATAATATATAAGTAACTTAACTGATGAGGCTGAAGTAACATGCTGGGTGTTAAGTCTTGCTCAAGGTTCTGTCACTTCCCCATTGGCCTTCAAGTACACCAGCTGTCACCTGCAACATGTTTAAAGTTGTAATTTACGTAGAATGAAAATTAAACTTGCAACTTCCATCTACCACTACACCACGTGTACTCACTGTCCCCAACTGTTTACATAAACCATTACCTCCACACTAAAACTATAGCATTTTTAGATCTCATGGTGTTGTCCCGACCTCCGTAAAGTGTCATTAATGCAAGAACGAATGTAAGTGTCGCCAAGACCAACACATGTGGTAACTCCAACGAGAACCAGGCCAATAAGGTAAGAAATAAGGGATTCCAACATATGGCGAGAGTCGGTTAGATTAGGTCCGGTTTATGTTTTTATAGGGTTTTTTTTTTTTGCATTTTTCATTCGCCGAGCCAATATTTTTTTCGGGAAACACCTCACCAAAAAAATTATATACAAAAACGACCAATTTCCGACGGAAATGGAGGTCATAACCGATCTAAACACAAATACGCTAAAAATATTTTGTTTTACTTTCTAATTGTTGTGTGCACATACAAATGGACCTTTTGTCACCAGGAGACAACCAAGGAACCTCCAGGTTACGTTACGTTGTTAGGTTAGTTATGGTGCTTTTTGGTTGTTGACCAATGGGTTTTTCCGATTGTAAAATCCATGGTTGTCCACTTTTAAAAAATTACCAGGAACCTTAATGTTACGGGATTTAATATATTCTGTATTCTGAAACGTCTCGCCCTCTAGCCTAGCCAAGCCTAGCCTAGCCTAGCCCCGCCTCGGCCTAGCCCCTCCCGGCTCCTCGCCCCACCCGGCTACCCGGCTCGGCTCCCCGCCCCGCCTCCCTTGCCCGGCTCCCCGCCCCGCCCCAGACGGCTCCCTCCCTCCCTCGCCCGGCTCCCTACCTCGCCTCACAAGCGGCTCCCTACCTCCCCTCCCACCTTGCCCGGCTCCCCTCACCTGCACCTCACCTTGCCCGGCTCCCCACCTCACCTCCTTGAATCTCCCTCCGCCTCGCCCGGCTCCCTACCCTAGCCTCACCTTGCCCGGCTCCCTCACCCCTAGCCCCTCACCTTGCCCGGCTCCCTACCTCCCACCTCCACCTTGCCCGGCTCCCTCCTCGCCTCCTTGTCTCCTCCCCTCACCCCCGCCCGCCTCACAAGCCAGGCTCCAACCTTGCCTCACCGCCCGGCTCCTACCTCGCCTCACCTTGGCTCCCTACCTCGCCTCACCCCTTCGGCTCCTACCTCGCCTCACCCCACCCGGCTCCCCTCGCCTCACCTTCCCCGGCTCCTACACTCGCCTCCCTGCCCCGGCTCCCTACCTCTCCCGCCTCACCTTGCCCGGCTCCTACCTCGCCTCCTTGCCCGCTCCTCCCTCCCTCGCCTCCCTTCAAATGCTCCTTCCCTCACCCCGCCCCGCCTCACCAAGCCAGGCTCCCTACCTTGCCTCACCGCCCGGCTCCCTACCTCGCCTCACCCCGCCCGGCTCCCCACCTCGCCTCACCCTTGACTCCCCTACCTCCTCCCACCCCTTGGCTCCCCTACCTCGCCTCACCCCGCCCGGCTCCCTACCTCGCCTCACCGCCCGGCTCCCTACCTCGCCTCACCTTGGCTCTACCTCCTTGCCCAGGCTCCTACCTCCTCACCTTGCTTGGCTCCCTACCTCACCCTCACCTTGCTGGCTCCCTGTCTTGGCTCCCTCCCTCTCCTTGGCTCCCTACCCCTAGCCTCACCTTGCCCAGCTCCTACCAAAGCCTCACCTTGCCCGGCTCCTACCTAGCCTCCTTGGCTCCCTACCTCACCTCACCTTGCCCGGCTCCCTCCCTCGCCTCGCCCCGATAGCTCCCTCCCTCGCCTCGCCCCGATAGCTCCCTCCCTCGCCTCGCCCCGATAGCTCCCTCCCTCGCCTCACCCCGCCCGGCTAGAACCCGTAATAAATTGTTTCAACTCCCAGAAATCGTAGCTAAAGAGTAAGCAAAGAACTAGCCAGTAAAAATACATCTTAATTCCGCAAAAAATACTTCTATTTGTGTTAAATCTAGTGAATGCGGCGCAGTTGCCAATGGTGAATACAGTGGTGGTGATGAACTGCGCAGTTGTTGAGTTATGACCACCCGGCTCCCCCATAAGTGTGTTGGGCTTCGAAGCAAGAAATAAAAAATAAATAAAACGGTAATCTAACCCAATCTGGTCATTGTACTCACTTACTGGTTAATTATTACCTAAATACTGATGAACGGTTTACCCTCGTTACTCACTACCGGCTCATAGTTTAGGCTCGTTTGTCATGACTCATTTGGCGGTATATTTGCCTAAAACATTAAGAAATTACTGGTTAGACGTTAGAGAGCCACTTAATATAATACTAATGTATTTGTTTAAGCTGCACAGTAGGTACCATGGGCCTTAGAGCCCAGTGAAACTTGGGGATACGACCCTATGAACTGTAACAACCGGCCGGCAAGTTTTGGACTTAAATCAGCATTTATTACGCCATAATTAAGTATATTAAACACTACCCAAAAGAATAACCATTTCTCTTGGCCATTTTGACTGTAGGCAGTCGGGCAAAAAATGTACACGTATATAAAGGAGACTAGAGGAGCGGCGCTTACCTGCCTGTCAGCTGCAGTCAGTGAGTGGCGAGTGGTCGGTGAGGAAAGGGACGAAGGCCAGTTAGTCGAGGCCTTATATGTCAAGGTTCACAGTGACGTCACGAAGCTTCACTGAATCATTTTTTTGCTTCATTGAAGCATTTGAAGCTTCGAACTTGTATATACGTTAAAATACGTAAAAACGTCAAATTTGTGGCCCGATTTAACTTTTCATTAACTTTAAGGGAATAATACAACGAAAACAGTGTCCCAGAAGGAAAAGAAAAGCAAAAACAAAGCCAAACGGCTCTGTGAGCGGCAGTTTTTGGAGTAACTATTATATTTAATCACAGAAAACGGAGCAGATATTTAATCATAGAAAACGGAGGAGGAGTAACTATTATATTTAATCACAAAATGGAGGGGTAACTATTATATTTAATCACAAAATGGAGGGGTAACTATTATATTTAATCACAAAATGGAGGGGTAACTATTATATTTAATCACAAAATGGAGGGGTAACTATTATATTTAATCACAAAATGGAGGGGTAACTATTATATTTAATCACAAAACGGAGGGGTAACTATTATATTTAATCACACAAAACGGAGCAGGGGTAACTATTATATTTAATCAGTGTTCAGTCGCAGCCAATATATTAAATATTGACCTCATAGATAATTTTTCTATTCAACTTGTTTATATGTTGAGAGTCTCGGTCTGTCCTTCACTGCCGCCAACAGTAGTGAAGTAGTTGGGTTGGTTGGTGATACAGAGATGAACCATTAGCTCAGAGGTTAAGAGTACTGCTTACTGTTCATGGTGGTCATATACTCCTATTGGTATTATTTCTGGTTATGTGTGTATTCTTAGCCCTTATCAGCCCCTTTAACAAGAGTTTTATTGTGTATATAATGTGCTTTATTTATTAACAGCTTTTAGGAGAATTACAATATTGAAAACGATCGTATTTTT